TAACAGATATATTTACCAAAAGGACACAAAAATATCTTGAAATGTTAAAAAATAAATTTATTCAATAAAATCGCTATTGGTTTCAAAGACGGCTTCCAACCGACTTCGGAATTTCCTGCAACTATTCTGGGTAATCTCCTTATTGGTGAATGCTGCCATAATCCTTGATATCAGTTAGTCTTTCGTGTTACAAGGAGTTTTGTTGGTTTCTACCTCGAGTGCGCTCCACACATAATAATCAAGGGAGTTGCAGTCTGGGGAGTTAGGTGGCCAGATGTAAGGGTTGATGTAATCACAGAAATTGTCTAAGAGCCATGACAGGGTTCTCCTGTTTGTGTAGCATGGTGCAAAGTCCTGTTTCCAGATATAGGGTCCTCCAGTAGCCACCCTCTTGACCCAGGGTAGCATTACCTCCTTAAAACACTTAGGCCTCCGTGTTGAGTGTGAAGCCGTGTAGGAAGATGAATGGAGTCATAACGTCGCCCTCAGCAATGTTCACTTCAAACACATTCGTAATCACCATTAGACTCATCCAACTCTTTCCGAATCCTCTGCACTGTCCACAAATTGTTACATTTAACTGTTTCAACAGTAAAAGAGTGGGACTTAGATGCCAACCTATTAGCACGCATAAAGTTATGCAGTCGGGACACCAGAGAAAATAGCTCGTGAGAACAGTTGCCATGAAAGTATTTGTAGAAAAGACAGCGGGAAGCCACAACACGTCTGTGAGAAAGTGACTGGAGTCGAGGTGCCAAGTCAAGACCGATCACATTGCAGATCCGTTTTTGGATTTTGTCGAGAATCTCGAGATGAACAGCAGGGGCGCCAGGCCAGATATGGCAACACGTATTCATGGACGAATTGTAGATTTGTAGATGTATAGGATGGACTCAGACGAGAGAAACCTTCTGGAACGACACAGAGAACCAACTTTCCTTGCGTTAGATACAGCTATTGATTCAATGTACTTGTTTCACCTCAGTTCATAGAAAACGTGAGGCCAAGAAGGCGCTCTCATGAAATCGAGCATCAATCATGCTGATAAAGGGGAGTGAAGTTTCTCTACAGTTTCTCTATGAGATATGGACCGAAAAAAGGTTTATGTTCACATTACATTGAAAAGGTCCGTTCAGAATGATTCACTCCTTGCTCGGAGAAATTCTACCAGGATTCATTATCGGCGATAACAATCTTAACAACACAAGATAGTGTTGATAGCAGACGCAGGAAGAAAACTGCCGGGACTTCCACAAAAGGCAGTGAAGGGAAATAAGAGGAAAGGACTAAACATCAATTGTAAGAAGACAGAATGTATGGTTGACAGCCCAAGATGCAAACAACGAATTGAAAATACCGAAATCAGGCACATAGAAACAGGAAATTTTCATTAGAAACAAACAAAAGGGTGTTGATTTGTTATGCAATATCAGTCCTCTTACGTGGCAGGAAATGTTGGACAATCTCCTCACAGTTGAATAAGAGCCTTGAGACAAGAGAAGTTAAATGACACATTTTCTTTATTAAGTCTTTTGAATGAAAAGGACGGTAGACGTAGTTCACACTGTACCCACCCCCCCAAAAAAAAAACAAAAACAAAAAAAACAAAACAAAAACAGGGCGTCTGCGTAAACATGGGTATCTACAAAATAATATATGGAAAAGCAGAAAATATTATAGGATGAAAAAATCAATTGATTTTATATATATATATATATATATATGTATATATATATATATATATATATATATATATATAATTTCTAAGAAATTTATGGATTTATAATCCGACATTTATTAAGCGGATAAACATATTTGACATATGTTTAATATATATATATATATATATATATATATATATATATATATATATATATATATATATATATGTGTGTGTGTGTGTGTGTGTGTGTGTGCATTAGGGCAAAAGGAAAGCAGCTATTACCGCAGAACAGAGGGGAAGGGATGGTAAAAAGACAAAATTTTGATAAGAGCTGCGAAAGATAGAAAGTTATGGCGAGCCATGATCCCCTACATCCCGTATGGCACATAAAAGAAGAAAAACGTGTTTGAGTAGATACCCTTGTCATTTGTTTTTTTGTTTTGTTTTTTTTTTTCAAATTAAAAGTAATGTCTATCGACTTAAAGATCGGAAAGTCCCACGCTTTCTTTAGTATGACTTCTAAAGACATTTTTTTTTCGTAGGATTACTAAAGAAAATGTAGGAGTTTTTGATCTCTAAGTCGGTAGACATTAATTTCGCTTATTAAGAAACAAATATAACGTTTATAATAATAAGAAACAATGTCGGATTAAAAAACAAATATCTAAAAAAATTACAAATTATATATATATATATATATATATATATATATATATATATATATATATATATATATATATATATGATTTGGACAAAAGTCTTCTTTACTTTCAAAGCACTTCTTTTTGTTTCCGAATTAGCTTACACATTACACAATTTATCCGACTTGACTTCATTCAGAACATCTCTTCACGCGGAAAAAAATCACAGCTGAATCTTGGGTGGATAAAAAGTCATCCAGTATAACCGATAACAGTGAAAAAATACACGATCAGTTGTCTGTAAAAACACATGATTTATAGTTTTGAAAATTCTTTAAAGTATTCTTTAAATATGACAGAGTAGTGAATTGGATCCTCACTGGGTGCTCCATATTTTCAGCCTTGTGTCACAACTAAGCTACGTTTATAAAGCCTCCCATAAATAAAATAAGGTTCAAACTGTTCAAAGAATTCCTATGTATTTGGTGGGGCCTAACAAGAAAACCTAAACTTTTAACAATAACATTTAATATAATATACTTTGATTTTTAACTCTTTTTGTCTGGCTATGTCATTTTCGTGTGGACTATCCAAACGTTCATTCTTGTTTTCAGATTCATAATTATTACAAGGCAACTCAGCATATTTTGCAAATAGAATGTGCTGATATATAGTGTTTCACATAATAAAAACCTGTGTATCACGTGATACACAGAACGTACAAATCACAAGTTATTTACACTACAATCTGTGCATCACATGTGATGCAAAGGTTATAATCATTTCAATAAAGTGGATAAATAGATGTCTTTCATTTGAGACGTTACATTATCAGTTAAGCGTCCTGTGGTCATATAGGATGCACAAAATATTACATTAAGCCTTTCATCAGACGCCATGCTCAATAGTAGACTCTTTTCTTAAGCGTCCTTAGTTTTACCCCCCCCCCCCTTTAAAATCATGGTTTGTGTGCACCACATATGATGCGCGGACGGGGAAATCACGTCCTGTGCATCACATAGGATCCACGGAACAGGCCAAGTGTTAAGAATAATTTTCAATATTAGAGATTGATTCATACAGTACCAGTTCTCTCTAATTTGTTGTTTCGGCCGCTGACCGTCTAACTTCCCTCAGTTGTCAGTTAAAATCGGTGTCCTTCGGGTAATATAAAACGGGATCCTTTATTTAAGTAAAGTGATTGTTTTAAATTTATATCTGTCAATGTGTGAAATCAATTTCGGAGCCAGATAACGTCGAAATATCCATAGGTTTACTGAAGAGACAGGGTTTGATAGTTGCGATTTTTAAATTCACAGTGAGGGGCTCTGGACACGATAGGTAGAAGTTGTAATTAAAAAAAAGACAAAAGAAAAAATGTGAGAAAACTGGTTCAAAATGAATCTATGTACAGAAAAGTTCAAAAGTTTGAAGCCACCTCTAGAATTAGCATGGGGCGGACTTGACGGGAGAGTTAAAAAAAAAAATGAAGAGTCATTGAAAAAAGAATGGAAAACTTATACTTTAAGAAACTTTTTCAACAGATGCCAAAAATTTTTGCTGCTGTAATCAAGGATAAAGGAGGATATTTTGACGAGAGCAAAATTTAATCAGGAAATGCTTTTATCTTTTTGTCATAATAAAAGTTCTAATAAAAAATCATGTATCACTTTGTTGACCATTTATAATAATTTTCTCTTATTTATAGTACAAAACAACTACTTTTGGTATTAATTTAAAAATTTACTAAGGATGGCCTCAAACTTTTGAACTGTAGTGTATAATAAAAGTGTAAGCTATACATTGCAGGTGCCTTAATAGTTAACGACACGGACTTAGAATTTGTTCAAATCGAGTTCAGAGCTGGAAAAATTTGAGTTCATTTCACTCTAATACCTTTGCGAGACGCTTGAGCCTACATTTCCAAGCTCTCGATAAAATAGTAAGGCAATTGGAGACCTTTATTTCTGTATAGTAGTTCAATTTGACTAACAATTTGGTCCCGTAAAAGTTCACTGGCTACTGAGACTGCAGTAGCATTATTTAGTGGGGTTGCGACTCTTCCTGTATTGCACGGATAGACAAAACAAAATAAAATATATACATTTTGCTGGGTTGGTATAAAATTGTCAAATGGAAGAATGAAATTTTGAAGTTTCATATGAGTTGTGAAAATATGTTAAAAAAATCTATTCAATACAATTGTTAATGGAATTTTCTTATTAAATGAAAATATTATATTTAGTCTTAAATTACTAAATCTTTTGAGCGTATACTGTGATCCATTGTCAAAAAGGAAAAAAAAATTAAATTAGTGGTTTTGCTCGATTTTCTTTTCGCAATCGTTTACCAGAAAGAAAGCTTTTAACTTAATAGTTTTAATGCGTAGTTCAAGCCTACTACTGTATAAAGCTGTGTTTTTTTTATCTTTTTTGTTTACACTTTTTTTTTTCAGAGTCATTCTTCATAAACTAGGGATCATTCCTCGCTTAGTTTTTACCTGAACTTGTTCCCGATCTTTTACTTGTTTTGCATTATGAAGAATATTCCCACTTTTGTCTGAGTATGGATGTCGCCTGTTCCTAATGAAATCTTACTCAATATGTTCATTTTTTTGTTAAAATGGCGTCGATTTTCGATGGTTCTGAAAACAAATTATACAAAATGGATGATAAATTAAATGTAAAGATTTTTTTTCATTCATCCATGGACGGCTGACTGCACATTTGACTGGACGGCTGCGTCACTGGCGTACTAGACCTGGCGCAAGGTGGAACGAGGAACCCGATCAAGCGACCAATTTCTCGTCGAAACCGTATATTGAAGACACCGTAGATGATCGGGTTGACGGCGTTGTTGAGCAAATAAGAGCGGACAGCCAGTTGGAAAAGTACGTCACCAGTCGGACTGAGCTCTTGACGGAACTCTTTGATGTGAATCTCGAGCATGACGAGAATCACGTGCGGCATGTAACTAAGTACCCACGTGACGGCAATCAGCGCCATGATGGAAGAAGTCCTGCTGACGCGTACCAAGGAACCTTTCGAGGACTTTTCTTGCTGCTGCTTCCGGGTACGCTTAGAACGGTCAAGTTTCAAACGGGTGCGAGACGAATCCACTGACACTTCGCTCTCCAGCGTTGGCAGATAAGGGATTTTCAGTACGGAATTACTTGTTCCCTTTCCGTCCGTGGAGAGACCGACGGGTGGTAGTGACGTCGGTGTTGGGCGGCGTTTGTTTTTGTGGCGCCATACTTTGATGGCAATGAGAAAGTAGAGAAGAAAGATGATGGAAAAAAGCACAACAGAAAGTGTAAGGAGTATATAGTAGAACAGTCGTGGGTATATTGTATTGAACATCACTTGGTCGATGCCACACTCACAGCCACCGCTCGTTTCGTTGTCCTGAGTCGGTGTTCGCCTCATGCCGTAGATGATCCACGAGGGCCAGACAAATATCAACGAGGTGACAATAATAGCGGCCGACACTGTTTTCGCCATCTTCGGCGTTAGCTGCGTATTGAACGGATGACACATACGCCGGTATCGGTCGATCGAGATAGCGAATATGATGAAACCTGAGTCTACTGCAATGGCCGTAGCTATCAGTAATGACAGTTTGCAAGCTTCATGACTCTGGAAGATGTGTGGTGTTGACACACGAAACAGTTCCATAGGCATTGAGAATACACAGCTAAGAAAATCACACGCGCCGAGCATGACGACAAACTGGTTTGTCCCTGTGCGTTCCATTTTTCGGCTGTATACGTAGCAGACGGCTGCATTTCCAACAGTGCCTATAACCATTCCAACCGATATATAAATAAGAACAGGAATATAGTCGCGTACTTTGCGATCATTTAGCCTCAATATGGCGTTTAAATTACCGGTAGTGTTGCTGTAGAGAAGTTCGCACATGTCATGCTGGGACATGTTTGCAAGTTTTTTTTTTTTGTTGTTTTTTGTAGCTGGATCGGACGTTCTGTTTAAAGATGGCTGCCCGTGTCGCTCACTCTTCAGTTATTAAAGTTGCAGCAAGGTCCACTTCGTCAGTCAAATAAAGTGACCTGTTATAGAAAGAAGAATAAAGAAACATTACTAAATAATCATCCGTTGATTCAAATAAAAAAATAATTTTAATTCCTTACACACAACTGAGATGGACTTCTCGTCATATTGGGGCGTTTGAGGACGTTGAAAACAATTGCAACCAGAAGTTCGAAGATCAATCGGCAAACATGGACCTTCGTTCCCCCGCAAAAAACGGATTGTTAAAAGGACTGTTTTTCCTATGATACTGTTTTTATTTTAACTATTCCCGGACAGTGTTTATTGTTTAAAAAGCGATGATTAGAATTTTGTAATAAAACCGAAGTACTAAAGTGGATTTATACATTTTTTTTTCTGGAGAATTTACAAAAAAAAATGTTAAGCACTATTATTTATTAGATTGTTTATTTACAAGAATAATGTTATATTTACAATATACTAAAAACTAATACAATTGTATTAATATACCTCTCTCTATATATATATATATACTTGTTTGAAGCTATATATGTATTGTTTATTATTATTTCATTTAACTTTTTCCAGTTACTGGCTTTTATTGTATTATTAGGTTGGTGCAAAAATAATGACGTACTAATGTCGTTTTTGGACGTATTTTCAACGTCAAAAAACGACATCATTACGTCATTATTTTTGCACCAACCTAATAGATTATTTGTCTTATTTTTACATACTGCTTTTGCTTACCTAAAATTATATTTATGAACTTTGTATTTTCTACTCTCGTTCATTTTTATATATAGTTTGTGTTAGTACTGTCAAAAAAAAAAAAAAAATCAGTATAAATGTTAAATAAGGACTTCGAGTATTTTAGGCGTAAATCCCGTTATATATTTTCATTTTTTGTTTCTGCTATCTGTTTCTAAATTTTTATTTGTTTATTTATGTGTATCATTTGGTAATTTGTCTTGCTGCCCAGTGTTTTTGTTTACCTATACTTAAAAAAAAAACATTTTTGAGCTTCTAAAACACGTAATTTGTATATATAGTGTGTCGCAGTATAGGCGCTCCGACATCCGGTGTAAAATATGGTAGAGGGCTTGCGTGTCCCAGGGATTCCAAGAGCGAAGCATGTTTGGAGTTTCAACTACTGCAGGATCACCCATGACGGTATAGCCGAGGAGGAGGGGCCAGACTGAACATGACCAACCCCCGAAAACCCTAACGGCAGAATAGGCAAAGGTCTATATGATTTCAACCACCAAACCGGCGGAAGAGAACAGTGCAAGTCAGACTGGCGTAACCAAGGCGGACCTTGTCAGATCAAACATCAAACAGCCTGGTGCAAACCAGATTTGCCTGATTTTCTGCCGTCCAGTATTTTAGGTATTTGCCATGCAACGCCTTGTCTTCCCAGTTTTTGTTATTTCATTTAGCCACGTTGTTTTGCTTTCTGTTTTACTCGTTTGGCGTAGATGGTATTCGCTTCGTTTTTTGTTGGTAGGGTTTCGGGTATATGAAGCAGTTTCTTGAAGAGTGCAGTTTCTTTGTTGATAGATTGGATTTTGTGTTTTACTATTTGTAAGAGAGGATTATTGGTTTTTGTGATGTATATTTCCAATTCGATTATTGAAGTTTTTAGAGTTAGTTCAAGTTGGTTTAGACCTCTTCTCCCTAAAGCTCTTGTTCCGTACAATCTATCAACATATGATTTCGGGTGATGTATCCTCATTTGGGCAATCATTTTTCTTGTCTTGACATCCAATCTTTTAATGTCATTCAACTTCAATTTAATAATGTTGAAGCTTTATGTTACTACGGGTATAGCTAAGGTCTTGAAAACCATCATTTTATTGACTCCATTAAGTTCGCTTTCTAGTATCAAACGCATTCTCCTATAATATTCTTTTCGGATCTTTTTCTTTATAATTGAATGTATTCCGTCTCCTTCATTAACTCCTTAGTATTTGTATGTACCATCCTGGTCTAGTTCTTTAATCTTGTTGATATCATCGTCTAAATCTGTAGTTTTCGTTTGTTTACCGCATTTCAAGGTGGCTTTGTTGCATTTGTAGATTCTGAACGCCAACCTAATATCTTTGACAATGGTGAGTGTTTTTCTGCTGGTACTTATTCTTGGCAAACATTTGAAGATCATCAATATAGAATAGCTGATTCAGTTTGCCATTCTTGTATCCGTAGCTGATGTTGTTCAATAGGCAGCTGAGTGGCGCTAATGCCAGGCAGAAGAGTAGTGTTGACAATGAATCTCCTTGAAAGATCCCATTTTTGATGTTAATTGGTCTCGATGTTAATGATCCGTTTGTATAGTTTAGGTTTATTGTAGTCTTCCAGTTTTTCATTATGAATTTCCGTTATGAATTTGACCGTTGTCGAGCATACTCTGTATATTTTTAGGCTCTTCTATATCCATGAGTGTGGTACACTGTCGAACGCCTTTCTTTAGTCGATCCATGCTATCGATAAGTTTCTTTTCCTTGTTTTTATCTCTTTCAATAGTGTTTTATTGCTTATTAGTTGGTCTTTGCACTCGTAACTTTCTTTTACATCCCTTCTATTCTGCTTGGATATAACTGTTTTTCTTAAGGAAATTGTATATTATCTCGCTAGAGATAGAAATGAGGATCTAGTACATTGTTGGTAGGCAGGTGATTGGTCTATAGTTCTTCGGGTTCTGCGTCTGTTCTGTTTTTGGGAGTAGGTATGTTACTCTCCATGTGAACCATTTGGCTCATTTTTCTGGATTTATGATTATAGGTTTTGGTGGGTGTTAGATTTTTTTTTTATCTAAAAATGGCTATTCGGTCTATTCCTGGTGCTTTCTAGATTTTTTTTCTTGCATTTTGCAGTTTATCCACATCTTACACCAGAACTCCTCGACTTCCTGGATATTAGGTGTGTCGTTTATCTCTCATTATTATTATTATTATTATTTCCTTGGGTTTCTGTTGTATAAACATTTTCTTCAGGGTCCTAACCAGAGACATAGGGTCAGAAATAGCTTTATGACATTTTCAACTGATTCTCTTTGTAAAAAAAGTAAATAGAAAATATCACATTTTACATGGATAAAGCTCTTCGTAATGTGTGAGTTGTACTTGTGAGTACATTTTTTTTTTTTTTGTATTTCTTTAAGGCATGGGCTACCAGGAATCCCTTAACTGAATCTATTGGAACCTTTTCCAATCAATGTGAGGGCTTCAACTACAACTGACATTATTTATGTCCTCATGTGCCACATTTTTCAGATTTCTACTTCAAGATCCTTGTAATTTGATAGTCTTTGAAGATCTTCAAAGATACATTACAATCTGCAGGGACGGCCATGTCAATAAGAAAGCACATTCTGTTTTTGTGGTATTTGATCATAATTGCTGGCCGATTAGCTTTGATTGTTCTATCTCTGTATATTGTAAAGTCCCATAAAATTGTTACATTTCCTAATCTCTGTAACCAGGTCTGGGTGATTTTCATACCAGTTTTTTGCAGTTTCCTTCCCGTAAAAGTTGCATATTTTCCAGTGCAGATACTGGCCCACTCTATATTCAGTGGTTGCTAACACTGTTGAACCTGATAAAATATTTCTGGATATTTATCACATAATTTGCATTTCGGATTAGCACAATTTTTTTATTTATTATTATTATTAATAATAATACTACTTTCTTTTTTTCAATGAAATCAGACAATATTATATTTTTCTTGTCGCTATGTGAACTCAAAATGGAATAGTTTATTATTTATTTGAGGTAATGACAAGAACGTACACTATAAATCTTTATTTAATTTAATAAAGATTTTATTTTTGTTTATTAATGAAATATTATGCCTTTGTTGAAAAATAGAGTTTACAATATTTTTATAGTTATCAAAATAAGCGATTTTCTTTTTCTTTTTTTATCAGCCTGTATGCTTTCTTTTACTCACTAAAAGCAGAGAGCATCTCTGATATTTTATTTTCTTTCGCCTTTCCTTGCAGTCAAAGCGGAATGGTCTATTATATATCTGAGGTAATGACAGGGCGTAACTACGAAGATGGCAACGCTACAGTGCTACTGTAGTAATTTTAAAACCTTAAAAGATGACCAAAACTTGTGGTTCCCCGCTCCACTAAACTAAGAAGTCTAACATGACCAACATTTGTAGTCTGGTATAGTACTAAGTTAAATTTGGTAAATATAGGTAGTATATTATAGAAATCTTGGCTATTGAAGACCGTTTCTCTCTAGTGATTTCAATATTTCCTGTGGGTAGCCTAGTGTTATATAATGGTAAATTTATTAAATACTATATCGCTGTTGAGTATGTTTAACCAGGGGCAATTTTTAGTTGAGTGAATTTTCATGCACAGTGAGTATCCCAAAGTGAAAAGACTTCAAGTCAAGGTAGTAAAGGAAGGCGAGATAAAACGACTAACCATTAACGAAGATAGAATGTGAGGTAGTCAAGGGGGAGACAATCAGAATCATCAGTACAGAAATTGAACCAGCTGGGTTGTATAACAACAGACAACAAAAATCCGAAGAGATCCGAAGGCGCATCGGAATATCAAATGATACTTTCCAGAAACTAAACAAAATGCTAACACGAAAATTGAGGAAAAAAAAAGAGTTTGAACTGCTGTGTCATATGTATTCTTTTGT